GAAGGTTCTGGGTGAATAGTATGAACCATGCAGATGAGCAGTTTGAATCTGGATGCAGCAAATTACAGGGAGTGGTGCCCCTGAGCATGCTGGGTACTGGTATGTATATTCAGTGAGCACAGGGGATCTGGATTATTCTTCCTCTTCTCCTGAAAAGGGAGTTCCAGCAGATGCCTCCCCTGGCACATGCTATCAGGAATCTTCAGGTGGGCAACCCGAAGGCCAGAACGCTGAAACCTAGGGTGCTTCGGAGAGCTGACTGACGAGTATGTCTACAGATCCTGTCTGGTATCATGGAGGAAGGGGACCTGCAGCAAGATCGTTGTGAGTACAGACCATTCAAAAGGGATTCTGGGACTTGTACTGTTTAACCCCCTCGGGACCTACACAGTCAGCTACTGGGTGTAAGCTAGAGGGGACACCGACAACCAGGGGTGGACTGACTATTTGGAAACTCGGGCATTGTCCGAGGGACCGGAGTCAGTAGGGGGCCCCATGAGATGCCCCTGGTACCTTTTTCATAGGCTTTTTTGAGTTTGGGCAAGAACACAAGGGCCCCATGATCCCCTATTGCCCGGGGGCCCCATGAGTTGTCAGTCCGCCCCTGCCGACAACTGTCCATTTTGTTCTGCATTTCCACAGAAGGACTTTTCTCCATTCTCTGTACAGTCAGCTGCACAGTTCTACCAATGAAACCCACAGATCCACTTAGAGAAAGCTGCCCTCAAGTGTGATTAGTTCAATTCAGAGTATCCCATTACATTATTTCCCTATCCCAGTTCTAAAAACAAAATAAAAACAAAAAAATCCCCTAGATTGATCATTGGAGTAACGAACAGAAGTTGTGTGCACCTGGCTATAGGAAATACTGTGTGCTTGGCTATCGGTGAAGATTTAGTGGAAAGCCTGGCCAAAATACTAGTGGCTCCTATGGGGGTAGTGTTACATATGCAAATGGTAATGCAAAAGCTTGATGCTTAGAAGCTAAAAGCACCTGTAAATTAACTAGAAGGTTACATTTAGAAGCATCTCAAGTTGATCCCAAATGCAATTGGAATGCACATTAAAAATGTGCTTGATTACCCTACCTAATGACTCTTTTGATGCAGGTGTAATGTGTGAAAGATTTTTTTTGTGTGTGTGTGTGCGTAGTGAGGCTTGCTGGAAGCTTGTTTATGGGTCAGTCTGGGAGTGAGTTAGAGAAGTTAAGGCTGAAGGGCTCTACAGGTCACTTCTCTGATAACTCCCCCGCTCTACAAACTTTGAAAAGTTTCTAGAAGCCAGTAGGTGAGGGTGAGGAAGGGCTGATCTGTATACTTAGGGGAATCTGGCCAATCCCCAGGCAGGAGGCCTGGCATGGTGGCTAAGTTAGCCCTTAAATATGAAACAGCCTGGTCAGCAGGGGAGTCGGGTGGAAGATGGAGTGAGGAAGTGTTGCTGGTGTGGAGCCTGGGAGGGGGCCCCAGAGGAGGGGGGGGTCTGCCTACAGGATGAAAGCTGGAAAGAAGGCCCTCCACTGTCCCTCCACCTATCGGGGAAAGATAGCCTGTTAGAGAAGGTGCCAGCCCAGCGTAAGGCCTGAAAGCAGCTTCAACCTTTAAAGCTACAGGAACAGGACAGTGTGAGTACTTCTACACCCCCTAGCCCAAAGAGCAGTCAGGTGCAATACTAGTTCTCCTTGGGACTGCATTATTTGTTGATCTCAGAATCCCTTGCCCTGGGATACTCTCAAGACAGCCAGGTAGATGAGGAGATTTTCATCTGGGGTCTGAGGAGGTTCATTTAAGGGGACCAAGTGCTTCTTGCAAAGACTGTGTGCTGATTCTTCAGAAGATAAGTGCCACACCTGAAGGAGTAAATAGCCTAGGATCTGGTCTTTTTGTGATTTTTGCTGATTTCTTGCCTTTTTGTGCCAAAGAAGTTGTCCTCCAAGTTGTTTCAATTCTATTGGGGATCCCATATACCCCTAGACCACATCCAAGATGTTAACCCCTAACAGAACAACAGAAACCAAGCTCATGGACTGTTTACTGACTTTGGAAGAAAGGGTGGAAAGTGTACGTTGCCTGGCTGTGCAGAGCTTAGGGGGACCCAAAAACTCAGCGGCCCTCAAGAAGGTAGCGCTACATAGGCATAGGCTAGCGTGAAGGCAGTTTCTGAATCCTGGCACAGTTGCAACATTTCCAGAATAAGATAGCCATACAAGAATAAAAAACAAAAAAGCTACCCAAAATCCCTCTTTCATAGGAGGCCAGATGACATGGCATGAACCCTATAACTGCCTCCACACATTTCATTTGAATTGTACAACCTTCTTTAGATTTACCAATATCTAAGTAGTGTAAAAACCAACCTGGTTGGATATACATTGAACGGATTGATTTAAAAAGGTCCTCACACTACATAATCCTGGGTTTACATTAGAAATACATGTGCTATAATGTTTTGTGTGGATTTGCATTATGGATTTCAGTTCAATTGACTTGAATGGCAAATATGGGTCAATGTACTTTTTTAAAATACAATTGATTTTTGTGAACAAGGCCAACTGAAAATGTATTTGTTATTGTTGCATTTTACCTGAGTAATATGGGGCTCAAGGAAAGGTTTTGTACAGAAAGGTATCAGAAGGGAGTGTTTGGTATATATTCCTGGTGTACTTCTCACCTCAGCAACTTTGTATTATGTTGGATAGAGTGATACAGGCAAACTCTTTGCTCTGCTTGAAATCAAGTGGCATGCAGGATCTGTAGGTTCACTTCCATTCTGATTTTACATGAGACACTTCTGAACGATGGAAACTGACTGCTGGAAAACGTAGGTTGAAAAACGTCTGTTTAGCTGCGTTTGCATACCGCGTTTATGCGCGTTTATGAGCATTTGCGCTTAGAAGCGTTTTTTAAAGATAACCTCAGGAGACCTTCCAAAATGCCCAGAATGCACTGAAAATTCAGACATTTTGAGAAAAATAGAGAGAACAGAAGCAGAGAGAGCAGTATTTGTTGAGATTAGCTGTCTTTTTTTTTGTGGTGTTTGGATGTGTTCCAGCTCATTTCTGTGCAGAAATTATTGCAGCAGTGTCTAACATATTTTCTTTCATCCGAAACCTCAAAGTATGGTGTACCAAGTCCATTTGAGTACCAGGAAAATGCTTTGCATGCATTTTTCATGATAAAAAAAGGCTCTGGATAGCATCTTGAAATGGAAGTGTTAAAAAAAATTTCCAAACGCAAACGCTTATAAACGCGGTTAGTCGTGTTTACACAAGTTTACATGCATTTACAAGCATTTGGGGTTTGAAACACTGATAAAATCTACTCCTGAACGCAAGTTTGGTGTATTAAAAAATAAACCTGTAAACTCAACTGCCTGTAAACGACCGTAAATTACATAGTGTACATGGACACATAGGAAAACATTAGGGAGAGTTCAGGGGCTGCTGAAAAAAAAAGCAGAAAAGCTCCTAAACGTTAGTTTATCAGCTGCAGTGTACATGGAGTGTAAATGCACCGCTGGTTATGACTGGCTGTTATACTTCAGGGAGAGAGAACATATAAGGGTGGGGATACAGTTCATAGTCAGAGAATGAACTTTGCCTTCATCACAGCCGTTTCCTCAGTTTGATACATAATCAGTCCTGTTACTGACTTTGGATTCCACATGTTAAACCCCAAAATGTTTGGAACCCTTTGCCTTATATACCACTTTGAAAGCAGTATTAACACTTGGTTGTGGACACATATGGCTAGGTTATCAATTTTGTTAAATGATGTCAGTTCACATCTGTACAATGCACTGGCATGCACTGATCATTTTTTTTGATCCATTGATACATATTATGGGACCTATTAATGACAATAGCACACATAAAAAACATAGAAATAGAAAACTTTGTTTTCAGTTTTTGATAGAGTGCTGGGGGTTAAAGTCGTTCTAAAGATTGAAGGTTTTTAACGTTAATGAATTCTCTGCATTAAGGAAAAAAACCTTCTGAGTGCAGCTTGCCTGAGCCCAATCTCGATCCAGTGCTCTGCCCGAGCAGCAGCTCTCTCCACTCTCTCCCTCCTCATAGGCTCAGAGACAGCAGCAGAAGCCATTGGCTCCTGTTGCTATCAAACAATGGACACACAGAGCACAGCTTGGAAGCGCCCCTATTCGAGTGCCCACATAGCAAGTGGCTTGCTATGGTGGGTGCTCGACAGGAGGTAGAACCCATGAAGAGAAGGATCGGGGCTTCTCTGTGCAAAACCATTGCACAGAGTAGGTAAGTATGGCATGTTTGTTATTAAAAAAAATATATTATGGGTTTACAATCACCTTAAAGTGGTAGCAAAGTCTCATTTCTAACTTTACCTACAGGTAAGCTTATAATAAAGCTTATCTGTAGGTAAAATTAATATATCCTAAATGTGCGCCGTTTAGGAGATATTCTACAGAGCAGCTGTTGGTGATATCACTGGCGCATGCGCTCTGAAGAAACAGCATACCCGTGTCGTTCCTTCAGAGCTGTGTGCCGTGGCCAAAATCTCATCGATGGCTCAGCCATTGAAGCAGCTGCAGCCCGGGAACCCGGAAAGAAGACTGAGTGAAGATGGAAGCCCTGTCAGCGGTGGCAGCGCGTGGCTGGAGGGCTTCGTTTCAAGGTAAGTTTCACATAATGTGCTAGTATGCAATGCATACCAGCACATATGTTATTACCTTGCAGAGGGGAACTTTTTTTTCCAAACAAGTTTACTACCGCTTTAAGGTTCCTGTCAGTTTTTGTTTTTTTTTTGTGTATTATTCAGGGAAGTTTCCCTCCACTTCCTGTTCAAAAGACACAACAGAAAGTAAAAGAAAATCTCTCCAAAGCAAGCAAAAATCCCCATTTAGACAGCTGTCACTGAAATAGGTGTATACATTAAAATATTTCACCTCACCTCCTGGATCATTTAAACTCTACAATTTTAGATTTCTCATCACTTTCTGTACAGGGGTGGACTGACCATTTGGAAACTCGGGCACTGCCAGAGGGCCCGGGGTCAGTAGGGGGCCCCATGAGATGCCCCTGGTACCTTTTTCATAGGCTTTTTGAGTTTCGGGCAAGGACACAGGGGCCCCATGATCCCCTATTGCCCGGGGGCCCCATGAGTTGTTAGTCCGCCCCTGTTTCTGTACCAGAGACAATGGTCACCAGGACAAACATAGAGTATAAATCCACAGACAACAGTAAAAACCTGACCGGAGTTTTCACAGTTCTCACTCTATCTAAAACATGAACAAGTTTTGGATTTACATATAACTAAAAGTGACCTTGTCCCTATTAATGAGCTAAATTACAGGCTATACTTTAGGATGAGGGTCAGTAACCTATCAATCGTTGGTAGGTGACAGTGAGAGTGTCCTCAATCTCCTTTCTCTGTCTACAAAGTGAGACATAAGGAGTCTGTTTGGACTCCTGATATTTCACCAAAGCCCCCCAGCAAGGCTGCTAAAAAAAATTGTAAAAAATAATAAAAAATAAAATTGTAAAACATAATAAAAATAAGAATCTGTTGGAATACTGTGTTCATGTATTTTGTGTGACAACTACATCAGTATTCAGTATAGATATATTCTCCAACCAGTAGCTGGCAGTGTTTATAGGTTTGTAGCTGCATCTATGGTATATTCTATGTCTTTTCTCTGAATAAACTTTCCTGTTTCCTTATTGCAGTGGAGCAGAAAAACACATGTGGACTGTGCACTGTCTGTTCTAACAAATTGTAAAAAAATAATAAAATCTACAGTCAGTACATGAAGGATAGTTCAAGCAAGTTATTGGATCCCCACAGCTCCTAAAGTAAAAAAAAAACAGATGCAGCTGCTATTCTTCCCTGATTTTGCCCCCCACCATGCATACTTACTGATTCTTGTCATGTATAAGTTTTGTTTCTTTAAATTTACGGACCTATGACAACCTATCTTTCCTATCTCTTTAATTACTTTAATTAGGATTTGCTGTAAACTTTATGGAATTTTGCCAAACACTATATCAGGCTGGGCAAAGTTCTTGAATGTTTTCCCGTGTCAGGAGGAATTCCTACTCCTCACTCTTACTAGAAAAGAAACTTTTCATACAATTAAAAGACAAGAAAGATGAATATAAGTGATGGTGTTTGATTTATGGTAACAGCAGCTGATTTAAGTTTCTCCCTACAGATGCACCCAGTAGAAGCGCAGTCACAGGAGGTGGGAGGGGAAGTAAGCAGTAAGCCAGATGAAAATGATTAATCAGTTTATGAAAGATGTGATTCTGTCATGCTGACTGCATATACCATCTTTTTAGTGTGTGACTGATTTCAAAGAGTAGCGCTGCTCTCATGGAAATTTTTACATATTCTAAAAATTATTTTTTTTTTCTTTTTAAAGGAAAACACCATTTTTTCTATAATCCGTTGGCTACATTTTCAAAATATCTTTATTACAAGAAGCTGGTCATTATCATAGGTTCTCCTATGCAGGGGCGGACTGACCATTTGGAAACTCGGGCACTGCCCGAGGTCCTGAGGTCAGTAGGGGGCCCCATGAGAAGCCCCTGGTACCTTTTTCATAGGCTTTTTTGAGTTTGAGCAAGGACACAGGGGCCCCATGATCCCCTATTGCCCGGGGGCCCCATGAGTTGTCAGTCCGCCCCTGCTCCTATGTTTTCCCATGTAACACAGGACATGCTGATTTTGTCTTCTACAATATTCCCACCTAAAATAAAAAGCTGTATGCAGTAATATGTGCAGTAGCTGTCAGTATAAGGGCTCTTTCACACGGACATTCCAATTGGGTCTGCCTGCCCGTTTTTCAGGTGGACCCGATCGGAACCTCCATTCTCCATTCTGTCCATTTACACCCACCGACATCAGATCCAATCCACCAAAAAGGGATGGATGGGGATCCAATTCCCCTTCTGTCCACCAAATCAGGTCAGATGAAAATGGGCAGGCTGTCCATTTTCATCCGACCGCCCATTGAGGAGAGCAAGCAGCTCTGTGTCCTCTCTTAAGCAGCGGAGCAGACACAGAGCTGCCATCTGCTTGCTCAGCAGGGAGATCCCCCACTGAGCAATTAACTAAATGGGTCGGCTTGTGTGAAAGGACCCTAAGGGTGTGTGGCCAGCTTCCCTGCCTTGCATGATTTTTCTGGCTACTGATTCTATGCAATAGTGTAACTATTTGACTACTGACAGCAAGTTAGTTAACCTCCCTAGCGGTCTGATTATGTCAGTATTTCTGCGCTCAAAGTGGTACATTGTTTTCAATGGAAATATGTTGTTTTTTTATTGTAGGCATGTAATTCTTAGGAATAACTCATTGAAATCTGTTCGAACAAGAGTCTAGTAAACATCCCGGGTATGATAAAATTTGAAACACGAAATCATAAATTATAATTTAATAAACATAAAAATTAATAATATAATAATAATAATAAATTCAATTTAATAATGTAATAAAACCAAAATCGTTTTCAGTGTCTGATGATGAATTTCCCCACGAATCATTATCACTCAATTCTGCAAGTGGTTCTAATTTAATATCACTGTTCTCTAGCTGGTCTAAAACAGCTTTTGACCTAAAGCGATGCTTTTTGGACGCCATGGACGTTTCTCAGTTTCCAGGCAGAAAGAACAGTAAAAATGCAGTCAGGGCACTGGACAATGCACTAGGGACAAAATGTATGTGAAATGGTTTGAGACAGTAATGTAATACTATCAGATTTTAGTCTATTGAGTGAATGTCACATTTTGAAATTTTTTAATTTCCCGCTGGTTCTGTCCCCCGTACGTCCCGACGCTCGCAGGGGACGGAACCTGGAAGACGGATGCCGGCATCGGCCAGAGGACATGGCCGGGGACCCTTCAGGGGGGACAGATTAAAGCAGGGGTGTCCAACCTTTTGACTTTCATGGGCCACATTGGAAGAAGAGGAATTGTCTTGGGCCACACATAAAATACACTAACAATAAGGATAGCTGATGAGCAGAAAAAGTCAGGTAGATCACAAGTTATTGATCACTGTAGCAAACCTGCTCATCAGAGTCGGAGTGGAGTTCTCCTTCAACCTTTTTTTTTCTTGTTCCGTTCTGTTATTTGAGGTATTCCTCGCTCATTCCTCACATCCCCCCTTTCCAGTCCTGTGAGGCAAACGTTATCTCCTGACAGATGGTGCGGGTCAACCAGGTTAAGACATCTTGAGTTGGCACCAGCAGTCTGGGGGAACTGTCACCTTTCTCACCTACGTCTGATAAGGCCACATTTCTCAGAGGACTGGGAAGCATTGACCCAAAACGGCATAAGCCCACACATTATCAAACTGACCAGAGTAATTGCACATTCCTCGGGTCAACCGTATGTTTCATGTCATGTATTATGAAGCTATAGTTAATTCAGTTTCCCACTGACCACTCCCAAAACGTGTAGTAAGAGCCCCCCTCCCCTTTGAGAGGGACTTTTAAGAGAGACAAGAGAGTTAGAGCTTGACACACACACAGAGATCTCCCAGCAACATCATAACAAAAGGATCAAGAAATCACCCTGCTCTCAACTTGGATCTGCAAACCCAGGCATATGGGCAAGTAACTTAACCCTGTAATCTTCTTCCTAATTATCTCCTTGCTGTGTCTTTGTATACATATATATATATTTTTTTTGTGACATCTCTTTGTAAATATTTTGTGTACCTGTTTGACGCTTTTGGTAATAAATCTTTCTTTCTGAAAGTGTTAAACTGTTTCTAAGCGCTTACTTGCAATTCACGAATCCCTGCCTTTGAAGAGACGCTACTGTTTGTTATATCTCTGTATAACAGGTCCGCGGGCCTTGCTATATAGATCAATATTTCAATCATTATAGTGTATATTTGATAACGGGAGTTTCCCAGTCTCCGACAAAAGTGGTGGTGGCAGTAGAGGGTTAGTTGCGTAATTAACCCGACCCAGTAACAAGCGCATTTAGGCTGCAGGCACCGATTGTAGTCCATTAGCTGGGCAATCACTGTGCTGGGTGCAGCTGGGTGTGGCCTTGTTACGCGCGTCACACCACGGTTTTTAGATCGGCCGGTCCTTCGGTCACGAGTTTGGTGAGAAGGTCTGGGGTCTGACGCCGTGGGCGTGACGTATTACTGTTAGTCGCGGTTGTGCGATTGTCGCCTGTTGGTGGCGGCGATCGTGGATCCGTGACAATCACTGATATAAATAATGTACCTACTGTATCTGAGAAATAAAATTTCATTTTTTGTAATTTTTTATTATAAAAGTAAAAGATGGCAACATAAAACTAGTGTGATATTTGACACTGTTTTTGATAAACTAACGCATTAATATCTGGTTCGATGAATGGAGTAGAAACTCTCAATGACTTCTCAAGGTGCTTATTAGATATTTTGGTTCAAATTTTGTCCTTCAGAGCTTCATCCTTGAAAATAGTTGCTCACAAATATAGGTGTTGCTGAAAATTGATGATATGAGTAAGCCGTGATTGTGAAGAGTGAGATATTTTTCTTTGGGAAGATAAAAGTCCAGTAAATAAACACTAACAATTTTTTCTTTTGGCCGCATGAGTTCGCTAAATATAAACACATTTTTCCAAAAATATAAAAAAAAAAACAACATTTTTAATTAAGTTTACAATTTTGTGTTGGGCCATATTCATAGCTGTCTTGGGTCGCATGTGGAGGTTGAACACCCCTGTATTAAAAGTAACCTGCATTGAGAGAATAGGTTGCCATCTATGACCTCCTTCTGCAAATACTAATTGCCTGGCTATCTCTGGCTATGATATGTTCTAAATCACTAATTTGGAAAAAGCATTACACAAAATCAGGACACCTGATCAACATACATGTTCTGGGTCAATGATTCATAAGCAGCCCCCATATTTCTTTCAGAACAGTTTTCCTTTAAAGTGGTTGTAAACCTAAGACACAAAATATGAACAAAGTATCTCTCTATAGTGTGTTCGTGTCTCAATTAAGAGCACTAATTGTCATTTCTGTCTGCTGCTTTGTTCCCCTGCTATCAGCATGAATCACTTCTGACAAGTTTTCCTGACACCAAGAGAAAAATGATGACAGCAGAGGGACCTCTAGCAGATTGACAGAATCAGCTCTGTTCCTGTGAACTGTGTGGAGGGGTGTGTGCCTCTTCCCTCCAATCAGCTCTAAGAACTCTCCTCACTGAGCTCTACAGTGTGTAATTTCAGATCCCCACCCCCTTTTTTCTGAATACTGACATGCGTTATAAATTCTGTACTTTGAATGGATGTAGAGAAGGAAATACTGCAGATAAACAGGTACAACCCATTCTGGAGGACTTGTTTTATCTCTGTGTATCACCTGAGGCTAGTCGCTTCATTGGGTATATGTGAGGGTTTACAACGACTTTAATTGAGTTTCCTTACCATGAGCTGTGCAGAGATTTTACAGCACATACAGTTGTACAATGCAATCCTTTATTAGGAACGGAAGTCAGAAATGGCTTGTTGAATTGTATTATTTATTAACTACCTCCCGTCCGGCCGTTGTGTATATAACGGCTGGACAGTGGCAGTGCAGGGGCAGGTGGCCATTTATAAACGGCCCCCCCTGCCCCCTGCTTGTGCGCACTCCCTGGGAGTTGCGCAGCACCACGATTCGGTGCCAACTGTGTCCTCCGGAACATCGATCTTCATACGGGACCACTGTGCGAGCTTCCGATCATGTGATCACTGACTGGCCAATCAGTGATCACATGCAGAGTAGTAAGCAAGATGTCACTTCTGACATCATTGCTTACTACGTGTGAAATCTGTGAATGGTCACATGGTACAAGGCTATTCACAACAGCCTTGTACCATGTGACATGCTGTGACCAATCACAGCTCACACAGTATTTCTCAATGGCTGCAAGAATGCATCCAGAGAGAAGGAGAAATGATTGCTTTTACAGCCTTATGGGTGTAAAAGCAATCAGTTTTAAAAAAAAAAAATCTTCATCACCCCGCCACAAGTAGTACAGTGTCACCATGGTGACACTGTACTGCTAGGGTGACAGTAAGTAAAAAAAAAAAAAAAAAAAAAAAAAATAATTTAAAAAATAAAATAAAAATGTAAAAAAAATTTAAAAAGTATAATTTTTGGTTATAAACTAATTTGGGTTATTTTTTTAAAATAAAAAGATAACTGAATACATTTTGGCCAAGATTTATGATGAAATATTGTTTATTTGCAAAATTTTATAAGAAAAACACTTTTTTTCAAAATGTTTGGACTTTTTCATTTATATAGCAAAAAAAATTAAAAATCCCAGTGGTGAATGAATACCACCAAAATAAAGCTTTATCTGTCTCAAAAAATTGCTAAAAAATGCTAAAAAATTCTAATTTAATGCTAAAAAATTCATATGGGTACAGTGTTGCATGACCGCGCAACTGTCTTTCAAAGTGTGATAGCACTGAAAGCTGAAAATTGGCCTGGAAAGGAAGGGGGGTAAAAGTGTCCGGACATGAAGTGGTTAATATAGGCATACATTTGTTGAAGGAAGGATAACTGAATATTGTAATGGCATAACAAATCCTAGTAAGTGAGAGTTCAGTTTTGACTCATATATTCCATTTATCTATCAAGTGTAAACATGACCGATCTTTATGCAGTTTGCAAACACTGGACAAAGCTGCCAGCAGCTAAAAATAAAAGATGTATCTGAATAAACAATTAAACCATTGTTGTTACAGAGTCACATGAGAGATTTTATTACTGAGATGTCACCAAGAATAAATGCCTCTTGTGTCAAATTAGGTCATGGGGAACTATAAAAAGATCGAGGTAAAGAGCTTTAGTGTATAGCACTGCTATCTGGCAAGAACTTATAACATTATATTTTACACACTAGTGACGCAGGTTGGGAATCTTCTTAGCTATTCTCTGAGACTAGAATATCTAAGACAAAACATAGAGGACGCTTCTGGAAGTAGAAGTTAGCAATTGATGTGTTTTATAACCTACTATTTGTATTGTTTATAAATTTCAATGTACAACTCTGGGCTAAATTCTTCCTCCCCAGTTGCCCCCTCGTCCATTTGGCTGTCCCCTGAAAGGTGTGTTTTCTTTCTTTTTTTTACTTATCTTTATATCATCAGTGGGCAGGCCAATGGCGTCCTGCACTCACAGTTACAATATGTTCTCAGTCTCCTAAATTTAATGACACTGGATGACATTGAACAGCAAATACTGAAGACATCATCTGGCAAAAGAAATGTATTAGTGGGGACAGTTTGAATTAAAGTTGTCCTTTTCAAGAAAATAGCCTACGCAGTGAATGGGCCCCAGTAGGTATTAAAAAAGCTGTGTAGTTTTGTTAAATATAGTTTGTTTTAGTCTGCAATAAAGTTTTACTTCCTTCAGTCCTTCACCCTCCCCCCATTTTTTTTCTTATCACCTGGTTTCCGGTCCTGCACAAATAAAATAAATAACAAACCACAAATCTAGTGGTGTCCTGCTGAGATCTTCCTCCCTTCTACCCCACGCTTGGTTCCGTGCCGCCATCTTCATGCATGACATCATCAGGAGGCTTCCGGCTATTCTGAGTTCCGGCGGCAGCTCTCACAATGATTCACCGCTAGGCCAGCCCCCTCCTCTTTTCTCAATGCAAGTTAATGCCTCTCAGGATATGCAATGTGCATATCTCGAGAGGCACAATGGGCAAAGTGCACTTAGGCAATTGACATGTACTAAATTTTTAAAAAGACCAAATTTCAATTGCGGAGGGGGGGAGCGGTGCAGAGAAGGGAAGATGAGTAAGATGGTGAAATGCCGTTTGAAGTACAATGAAGCATGCATACCTAAAACTTGCAAAAAAGATGGAGTACAGGAACCAATATCAGCAGCTCTGTAAATTCTCAAGGTAAAGGAGCATGCGTCTCTATAATTAAAGAGGCAATAGGGGGTATTTACTAAAACTGGTGCAGCTGTGCATAGAAACCAATCAGCTTCTAGGTTTTATTGTCGAAACTTAATTGAAGAAGCTGAAATTAAAAGCTGATTGGTTACAATGCACAGTTGCACCAGGTTTTAGTAAATCTCCCCTAATGTAATAGACCATTCACTTTAACAAAATGTTATATATACATGCTTTATGCTTGTGATTTACTTATAAAAGTCTCCACTGGATAGACATCCAAATGCCCTGCTGCTCAGCTGCTAAATGCTGACATCTTGGATGTGATGTCAATAGTCCCAGTAGGCTCAGAGCTGTCACTCAACACTCCATAGTATTCATCTTCACTTCTCCCCTGGTAGCTAAATAAAGGGTTATACAATATAGGGAGGTAGAAGGGGATGGGGGCAGATGAACTGGGCCAGCACAGAGTGTAAATGGACACTCCAGGAAGAAAAAAAAGCAGTGATGTGCAAGATGAGAGTGGGCAATGCTATAAAATTGGGTGGGTCTATGAGTAAGGCACTAGGAACTTACCAGATGGTTGTTAAAAGTCATTATCATCCATGGATAAGTGTTGCAATTATATACTATAGTGTTTCTGTACTTGATATCTGAGACAGGATTCATACATTTCTAAGGTAACAGCAGTGCAAGGTGCCTGGAAGTACCCATGATGGTCTTCAAATCTAGTCCTGGATCCCTTTGGAGTCTGTTTACTTCTAGGTTACAGGTTGTACATGGGACCTTTACTTCTGCCCAAGTGAAAATTTTAAACTTGCCACTTTCTGGTGCTAATTTCTACCCCCTAATTCAACTTTCAAATGCCATACCTTGTTTACTGAAATTCTGGCACCTGTGGATTGCATGTTGGTATGGGAATTAATTCCAAGGTGTAGAGTTTAATCTTGAAGTAAAAAGTTGTCAGGACAGGAAGTGATGGGAAATGTTTTGGGTATGGAAACATAGAAAAGAGAAAAACACATTTTTTTTTAGTGGACTACTGCGGAAGGGTTAAAATTCTGACAATTATTTTGTTGCTGTCCATGCCTTCCTGTGCCGGTGGCAACCACTACTCTTATTTTTGTATAGAGGTCAAAGAGACAGGAAAAAATCTCTTTAGTGTGGTCACAGAGGGAAATAAAACCTGTCAGATATGTTACCATTTCTCTACTAAAATTTAAAACATTTTAGAATGTTGCATCAGTTAGACTTTAAAGCTGAATTTAAGGCACCATTTGTCTTTAACATTTTAGAACCTCATAGCCCTTTACATTTTGCTTGAAGTAATGTAAAGCTGCCTTGCTGCAAACCTGTTGTAAAGCTCCTTCTCAGTCTCTCTATATAGCACAGCTCTCTGTACTTCCGGTCAATCGTGACATCAGGGAGGCTACTATAATGCACACAGCTCTGGCGTCGTGTCATTGCCCCCTCCTTTTGCTTTTCCACTTGCAAAGCACAGCCTGTGATGACGCAGCAGCTGACTACAAAACTGCTAGAAAGATGGTGACAAAAGTTAGGCTTTAATCTTCTGTTTTTTTTGTCTGACTTGAATAGATAGAATGACCTGTAAGAAAGATGGCTTTGTGCCGTGGGCAGAGTAAAGCAGTCTCAGCTGATCTGGTAATCCTATGCTATCAGTAGGTGTATTCCTGTAATCCAGCATGCCAACGTATGGATCTTTTTTCACTTTGCTTCGCCTTTGACGATATATGTTTGAGAGCTTGAAGAGTGCTAGCAAAGTGTTCCTTTAACAGTGGATAGTTAGGCCTAGCTGACTCAAGCTGAATATCAAAGATTTTGTTTAACCTTTAAGATTCTATTGCAGTAGAAAACTGAGGACCATTACAAAACTCTTTTGAATTTCTATGTCTAGAGAAAATAGCTGTCAGTTTCCCGAAGGACAGTGAATGTCAAGGACCCTTATGTATCATTGTTTCTTTAAAAGAAAACCTACCGTAGTAATTTCACCACAGCCACCAATCAAAATA